AGATAGCTTCTGGAAGGACATTACCCTTACGAGGAATAAGTGGCTTTCTGATAAACAGATGAATACATACAGTACTTGGAAGTGTATATTATGCAAAAGAATGTCTTCATCCTTCTATAAAAAAGCCTGCTACTATGTGCACATCTTATAGCCAGCCCCAGACTGTAGAAATCCATGTCTTGGCTTGCTGAAAGCACCTAAAGGGATGTTGAGATTCTGTTATTCAAAGTAAAGGAGATGTTAACTTAAGTGCAGAGGAAAATCGAACCATGTTCGCTCTTCCTTGAAAGAAATGCCTATAAATGATTCTTGGTTCTAAAGCACGGTTAAAAGGGTGAAAGTACCAAAAGGTTAGCTTTTCAAAAGAACAACAATCTTCCTTACAACCACAAGAACTGAAAGATGCATGATATGGAATGAAAGGAGTTAACATTTACGCCGGAACTCCTGACTCATCAACCTCTGGTGCGTTATCCATTATTTTTGAAGCACATTACCTATAGCCATCACGAAAAATCACGAAAAGGCTTCAAATCAAACAAAAAAAAATTAGCAAAACACAAAAAATATTTTTGTGACAGGCCTAGAGCTGGTCAAGCAATAGTTACTTTAATAAAAGATGTTAAATGCTGAATTTGGTACTAAAATCAAGAAAATGCTGAAATACATTATTGTACATACCATTTTCTGAAACTGTAGTGATTTTGTTGTATTTATAAAGATTTATGTACTGTATAAGGAAGAGGATAAAATAGATTCAAAATATTTCCATCATTTTTTTGAAAAATGATGCTTAAAAAGATTTATTTGCAACAAGCAGACTACTGATGCCAAGGTAATTTTAGTACATTACTGTTTGATAAGCTTTGCAGTTCAGCTGGTTAGTTCATAGTGCTGTTGTAGTAAAACAAAATAATTTTAAATACAGATGGCTTCCAGGAAAGGACAATCTTCAGTTCCAATGGAATGTGTATCCAGCTTTTGTACTATACTAACTGTACACTTTACATCATAAATGTTTTTGTTTGCTAATTAGGGCCCACCACAAGACGAAAAAAGAAAAACACAACCAATTTAAAGAGAATAGGTCATCTCCCTTAAAATACAATCCCAATAAGGAACATAATGTTAGCAACTACAAAGACTGCAGAAAATGTAAAGCAACATAGGGTGTTAAACACAGCAGGGTGTACTTGAATGAAAAAATGCTTCTCTGGATTTAGGATTACTTCTTATGTTTGCTATAATGTATTTAGAGCACTTTGCTCAAGAAGGAGAGAGGATCCTTCTAAGAAACATGAAACATACACCACTTGGGTTACAGGATTCAACATCTTAAACAGGAAATGTTTTACAAATTCACCCGCAATCTACAAAAGAATAACAAATGCAAGAGTTGTGATCTGAACAGTAGAAAGCAACTTGAACTTGCCAAGGTGACAGAAAACATGGACAATGAGGCAACATCAGGGAATCTAACTGAATATACTGTACCTCTCTTCTTTCTGCATTTCCCCTAAACTGCTAAATTATTTTCAGGCCTTTATCAGGCAAACACCATTTCGTATTGCAACTTTCCTGTGTTTTGTGTAAATATTATTAAAAAATAGACCTTGGACCCATAATTTAAAGAAATTTGTTTTTTAAAAATTAAAGTTTGTATGATTGTACCTTTCTGTACCTCTGACTGATAGCTGGATGTCACATTATAGGGAAAAAAATTCACTGTAACTAATGTGTTTAGCCAGTGTCATACATTTTAAAACAAGTGAAAAACCAAAAGCTTAAAGAAATGGAATCAAACCTGAAAAAGGTCTATATTAAAATATAAAAGTACAAAAAGCCAGGAGGTAAAAAAAAGCTAACCAAAAAATTACATACACCACACAATTTGTTACAAGGAGGCTGTTATCCTTGTATTTCATCTACAACTGTTATGAACAGTGGGAGTCTGAAATTGATAGACGCCATCACCAGATTTCTGGTCACAGATTAGATGAAGTTCAAGGTAATATTTAACATGGAGAGATCAGAGAGCACAGACTCTTAACCTGGTTGGTTCCATCCCTATTATATACTAATCAACACTTTCTGATACATATGAGAAATGTTAGGACATTTCTTAATGCTAACACAATCCAGAAACAATTTTAATGATGGACAAATGATACATCTGGTCTTTTTACCCTTGTACTACTACCTGCTCATTTACCTTTACCTAGAACCCATTCCTTGTTTGAGGAATGCCATCTGTATTTTTCCAAAAAAAATAACCCTGTGCGAAGGTTGTTCAAGTGGCAGGGAAAACCGAACTTGACGCTTTGGGACATTTACTGCCTTTGGATGATGATCCTTCATATTGAAGAAGAAAAAGAAGAAGAAAAAGTTTAAAAATTACACAGAACATTTCTCTAGTTTCTGTGTACTGTAAATTCTACTACAGTATTCTAGAACATACATTCAAGAAATTTGTCAAAAACTGGAAACCACTTCAGAGTTGAATGGATATTCAACTTGGCCTTTCATACTTTCATTCATTTGTTTCATTCAAAAATTCAAGTGAAAAGTGATTGTTCAAGTTTATTGTCATATATACCTGAGTACAATGAAATGCATGTTTTCCTGACATGATAAATAATGTACTGTAACTGTTATTTGTATATGACAAATCATAAAATGGAAGTAACTATTTCCAAAATAGTTCATTACAAACATGCTTAGATAACATCTAAATTAAAAAGTGAACAACTACGCTCAGTTCCAAAGTGTCCTGTTCAGTGGACTGGAGCCTTATCTTTACAGCTGTTGGCTGTACTCAACTCAAAGCACCCAGAGATGTGCCAAATCTAGCTTTCTGCAGTTGCTGCAAATGGGAACAGATGGACAGCAGCTTTGAAGACACACCCCTACAGCAGTCTATGGAAGCAGCTGAGAAATTCATACAATGCGGGACTTCTCAATCGATACATTAAAAACCAGTCTGAATGTGAACAGCAGAAATTGGAATTGCAAAACCTTACCTTAACACTAACAGGAGCTGATCTATGCATGTAACACTTTTCAGACTCCCATTTCCTACACTAACGTCTTATAAGGTAATTATCATTACCACTATTCAACATCAGCCTCAAAGTGAAGGTCTTTCAAACAAATCTGTGCTGACATACTGTATCTTTCAGCTGTTTTTAAAATGGTTTCACTAGTAACTAGTAAACTAGTATTTTTGTTCCATTAAAACATCTAGTTTAAAGACAAAAGTCACTGCACCTAAATAAAAAAAAAACTGTTTCCTGAGATCACAGTTGTCAAAACTATATAGCTCCACACAAATAAATCCACCATCATCCAGAGCCATAAGTGCATTGTAAGAAGGAACATAAATAAGACAAATTTCAGCCCAGTCTCATTAATATTGTCTTTTGCACAAAATGAGTAATATGTTCAGAAATGTTCTAAAACTGTAAGTTTCAAAAACACTAGGAAAAAGAAATTTATAATTTTTATAAGAAAGAAAACTGAATACACAGTACTGAATACAGTAGTATGCAAAATCCTACACTCAGAACTATATGTTGAATTATGACACTGAATCTGGCAGTGTATACTGTAGACTACAAATGACATTGCACACGTGCCATGATAAAGTCTTACTTCACAATGCTATTTTGACCAGTTTATAAATAATGGATTGTTTTCATACTTGTATTCTGTATAGAGTTTCAAAGGAAACACTAAAACGTTTCCCATAAGTTGAAAAATAAACCATCGATAGTTTTCACTGTTTCCATGAAGACAGTCAAACATGCAGAAACAAGAATTGCAGTGAACAAAACCTGACTTTCTTTGCATCAACACATCATTTCTTCCTTTGCTTTCTTCACTTGTAAGAAGTTGCAGAATGAGGCCTGAGCTCTGTATTTGTAAAGCGCGTCCGAATGACAGCACAGTGGCCTGTGCCCTCGCTCACCCTTAACTGCGCCACTGCGGCCTTGCCCTCTTCGCTTTCCTCATCCAGCTCGTCGTCGCTCCACTCCCACTCCCCGTCCTCCGTCTTATGGAGCCGCCCGCTGGAGCCCGGCACACGCCGGACCTTGGGTGACAGAAAAAAAAATGCTGGGGATTAGCATTTGAACCATTCAATTGTTTTTTTTTCTTTGTAAATTAATTAAGTTGATACAAAATTTAATAACATTCTTTCACACTGCTCTGGGTTCAGTTTCTGGTGGGTTTCCTCTGGGTGGTCCGATTTCCTTCCACAGTACAAAAACGTACTGCTGTGCTAATTGGCTTCTGGGAAAACCTGGCCTGGGTGAGCGCATGTGAGTCTGTGTGTGCCATGCGATGGACTGGTGTCCCGTTCAGGGTGTAACCTGCCTTGCACCTGTTGCCTACCAGGATAGCCTCTGGCTCCCCTGTATTTGGATAAAGCAATTAGAAAATGGATCCTGGCACTCTGGACTATCCTGCAGTCACTGTAAAAACTTTCTTAACATTTCAAGCAGCTATGTGACATGTCTGCTGATATGAAGACATACTGCTGTACTGTAGCCTCTCTGTCAACTTTGCATTTTGTGGTTTTTAGCTTTGCCTGTTCAAATGAATCTGCCATAAACTAAGGTTTGTCTGACTTTTGGAGTTAAAAATGGGGCTTCTTAAGGTAGAGCATAAATAAGAAACAAGTGTGCTTGCAACTAACCTGTGTTGTGTTCTACACTACTTCTATCACTACCACTACCACAAACTTCAAAAGGAGTTAACTTAAGATACCGTTAGACTTCTACAAAACTAATTTCCTGTGTAGGTTTTACTGCCAGCATAAATTACAGATCAAATATATAAATATCAGATATGAATTGTTTTTTGAGACTTAAGTGTCTGAAAACATCAAATGATATTCATCTCTCCTGTGGTCAGCAACTTTAGTTGAATCCCTTACCTTTTTGGATCTTTCTGTGATTGTAGGTGCCCGTTGTAGTAGCTTTTCTTGTAAATATTCTTTGTTCTACATGTGAGAGCAAAAATGGGATGGGTAAGAATTTCTGCCCAAATTTCACACTTCAGTTTGAACAAAAAGAGCAGCCCAACTAAAATCTATTTATTCTGTTTTCAAACTAACGACTCTCTTACTGGTTCTTGACAATGTCCTCAGACCGCCTTTAACATTTGGAAATCCAGGTTCAGAGGGAAGTCTACCAACAGCACTTACAGTAGCAGCTGGATTTCTTTAGAGGCTTCCCTTCCCAGTAGCCTTGACAAGGCTCAGCCTTACTTATCCTCTCAGATGTTATGTGGAATAGAAGGGGGTGATGCTGCTGTCTTAATACTTAGAGTGTACTAGTCCAAATACAAATACAAACACTTACTTTTGCTAGCACTCAAGTGATTTATATGTCATCATTATATTACATTGTATAAATTACGTTATAGTGTTAAGATGTACATTTTTTCCCCGTTGCAGGATGTTGCACATATTTGACAAGGTCAGCACGATCCTTGGGTGCTGTGGCTGGATATCATCTTATGGACTTTTTTCCTTATATTTACTGTGAAGTGTAGTTTGTAGTTCTCCGCCAAATCTCTTGAGTACTGTGTACTACAGGGTATCTGATGTTTCACAGTACAGAAACCACATGCAGGTTGTATTGGAGGCACATTTTGCATTTGCGATATCCAAATGGTGAAGTAATTAAGAATAATGCAAGTCCACACAATGATTTATCGACAGTGATGCATGATGCAAGTTTAATGGCTAAGGGCCTAAATCTTAAAACCGCTTATCCTGCAGTCCAGTTGTTCAGGCTCATACTGCATCCGATAGCGAGAGAAGCATCTGCTGGGGGTGTTAATCCCACTTTTTGTTACAGTAAAAGACAATTCAAAAGCAGCTCCAGCTGAACAATGTAAGGAATTTTGGCATGCCTCTGATTAGCTAAACAAAGTACATTGGGATTAATAGCTGCAAAAGAAATAAAAAATTGACATTGTTTAATAGTATGGCAGAAGAGAGTGCTAAACCTTCCCTTTCAGCAGGAATGCGGTTTGCTGACACTGTTTCAAAACTAAATTGACATGAAGCAGAACCCCGAGAGTGCAAGAACATTTACCTTTGCCTTCTGGAAGAATTTGTGCTTTAGAAGCTCTAATGATGTTGGTCTGAAACAGAAATAAGTAATAAGTAATAAGTAGGGCTTTAATTGGGCTTAATACATAGTTTCCTGCTTCAGTACATAGTTTTACATTAAACGTAAAACTGCTGAAATATCCACATCTTAAAATGATGGCTATTATTTACAGTACATTAGGAGACAAAACATGTCCAATATGGTCAACTGAAAAGAAACAAGGATTATGTAATGGGAAACAATATTGGCTCTTGGGGGATTTTGTTAGAGAGCCTATCACGGACATCATCAGCAAACTTAAATGATCATAAAGTGGTCAAAAATCAATTTAAAACAGGTCTGAATTTGTTAAAATGATCAATATTTAGACCCTTTTTTACGCAAAATACATCTAACAAGGCACTTCAAAATGTATATATTATTAAGAAGCTGACAATACAAATATAAAAGTAAACACTGGCCTCTATTATTCTTTAACTTCACATTCTTGACAATTTTCAAAGTTGAACATTTTTGACAAAGTTTTATGCCTGTTACATGAGTTGTACATTCTTAGCCTGTATGAACAGCATGATCTCCAATAAAACAGCCGTGTAGTTACTGTAAGTATGAGATGTTATCACTTTGCCCAACTGGGATCTCTCAAATGCAAAAGACGCAGCTTAAAAAAAGGATTTGCTCCAATTACATCACTACCATCATTCTGCCACTCAGATACAGTTATTGTACTGTATGATGACATACTGTTAATAGCTGAATTTAATTTACAGGACACTGGAATAAGCCAGGTACTGTTAGAATCATGGAGATCTGAGATGAATCCTAATGATTTACAACATCATCAGTGGGTGAAAAGTTACACTGGTTACTGTTGCAGTTATTACTTTAAAAATAACACCTTCCTTTTTACTAGTTGACATGGGAGATAGTTTCATTAGCTGCTCAAAACAAATCCTGGGATGATGACTACAAGTTTAAAAAAAAACAAGGGAAGTATTTTAGACTGTACATTTAAAGCAGAAACAAACCTACAGTATGTTAAGAAAAGTACTCTGGTGTTCTACCACTTATTAATCACTAGCGAGGCATTTTACTGCAACATAAAGGATATTTCTGAGATCTTTACTTTCTGGATTATTAAAATAAGGGTTATTTGTAAACCCAGTGGTTTTTCTTATTGGTTTTCACCTCATGCTTCTTTTCTATGCTTTATCTGGCTGTTAGAAGGCAGAATCCTGTTTTTATCAGATTATTTTAATGTTGTTTATTTTATGCCCTGATGTCCAAATCTTCTGAAAGATGCTCTGTTTACACTATGAAGAATGAATACAAGTGAATTCGTTTTATAATATTTTAGAAACATTTGTTCTACAGAAACATTTTTTATTATACTGTAATTTGTCCTATAATGACCTCAATGGCTTGTTTACAAAGCATTCTCAAACTGTTCAACTGTTTGAAGACTTTCCAGTCCTAGAGCTTTCATTTCTGTTTTATGTTTTCTACAAAAAAAACGTTTTTTAAAAATACCCTCCTCTGTGACATAACTGCAGATTTGTCAATTTTATTGTTTAAAGCATAACACATTACAACACAGATTAAAGTACATCACAACAATTATAACAGCTGCTTCAACATCAACTGTGAAATTTAGAGACATGGTTCTCATCCCTAATCCATGGTTCTAACTGTGCACTCATCAATAAAGACCAACCGATCTGTAGCCCATTAAGTCAAGCCTTTATATGGAGATTAAGAAGTGGGATATAGTAAGTAATTAAGGCAAATGCTTTCTAAAAAGCTTTCAGAAAACAGTCTCCCCTAATTCAGACATGTTGTACTGAACTAGTAGAGTGTTTGACATAGTGTCATTTCCATTGGCCTGAACAACAAATTGGTCAGCTACTGAGAGCTGTTTTTACAGAAATAAGGCAGCAACTCCTTAACTCCTTAAACAAGCTAGAGGGATAGGTTCCGCATGGTTAATTGCTTAGCAAGAGCGCTTCTGTTTCTTTGGATTACAAAGACTGAAGCAAGCTAAACAGGTTAAAATGTCTAATTGAGCAAGAAGTGAAATGAATTAAAGGAATCAATTAGCCTATGAACTTAGTTACGAACTTACACCAAAAGACAGAGGGTTCCTTGAGTAGTAGGCTTAGATCATGAGTCTTTCAATTGGAATAGGTTTGTCATGAAAACATCTATATTTGACCTACTGTATGCCCCGGGAATTAAGTGGAAAGACTTGAAAAAGACTTGAAAAGAGCTTTCCACAAAAAAGCTGCATTCAGCAGAGCTCAAATGTATTGTTTAGCTAGGCAATCAGTGAGATATAACAATGAGGTAAAATTTCCATGATAATATCAAAGCACAATTAGCACCACTACATTAATGTTTAATGGAAGGTTCGATGTCATATATATTAATGACAACCTACCACATTGTCATCTGTACAATGCATATTGATGTGATGAACGGGAGTCTTGCCTTTGTCTACAATAATAACATTTCTTCTTTGTAAAAATACAGAAACCCCAAAAAATAAATACAATGACTAAAGGCAGAGTCTGGCAGATGACAACCGTTAAAAAAAATATTCATCGTTCCAGCTTAAATATTTTTGTACGATAAAACTCTTATTGATCAGATATCTCTTCCTAGAGAAGGAATACTAATGAATTACCTTTTCTCTGGGTCCTTTTGAAGACAAAGGGAGATCATCTTCCTGAAAGACTTGCCATATTTCTTTACCGTCTCTTTATCCATGACACCCGTTTCCAAGCAAGGAGGGTCGTTCTGCAGGGTTAGCATTAACACCTGGAGAGAATAAATAGTAATCAGCACCATGGAGCATGCAAAGTACAGTATGTCTGTTTATGGCAGAAAACCCAGGTCTATCTTGATATTTTTGTTTTCCACATGTACAATAAGTCAATAAGAACAAATTCTCAAACACCACAAATCAAACGATGATTTGGAGGTCATTTATAGAGAAGGACATTCACTGGAGCAATCTTAATGAAGTAACTTGTTCAACGGTACACCAGCAGTTTGTTTCCCTTACTCAGTTAGTAAAACAGGTCTTATTTCTGTTTTTCAAGAATGGTGGGAAGTATATATATGAGGTATATACTGTACCTCATATTTGAGAAGTGTGATCATTAGAACATTTTGTATTTGTAACTGATTAAATAATGTTATTACAAATGAGGTATTTTAGGTGGGTTTAACTGATGGCAACACCATATATCATATCCTTTAAAATAAGGGCAAAGAACTGAAAGAAATTTGAAAGAGTTAAATAAACCTCTGAAGGAAATTTATCAACTTGTAACAGTGCAGTAATGTATTAGAAAAGTAATCAAACACAATAAGAAAACCTTTGAAAATTCAATTGTCACCGGCCAAGTGACCAGGCTTGGCTCAAAAGAAAAGAAACTCCCACAAAGCAGTCTTCAAATGCAAACAAAACTGGATTTATTGCCAAACAAAATAGGGATAACAAAAAAAAAACCCTCACAGGAGTACTCTCCACACCTTTCCTCCAAGGCACCCTCCTCCATACTGAGCTCTCCCAGTCTCTTTTATAGCCCCTCCTATCCCAGGGCCCTTCTCTCTTAAAGGGACTTGCTCATATCTGGTGGACAATTTTTAAACAAATAAAGTACTTAATTCAAATCCAGAGTAAACTGCAAAGTTTAACAAAGTCACGCAACATCTTTTATACATTTAAAACAAACAAATAATCATACATTAGTTATTTATAGATGGCCTTCTAGTAACCTTTCCCTTTAAGATCAACAGTGTTTTTAGTACTGCTGATGTGGCAGTGTGGGGAACTACAAACTACAAACAGAATGTGAGGTTTGGCCATGTTGCCCTACACAACACAATACTGCAGTGATTTTAGGGAAACAACAAAAAGGGTTAGTATCATTCACACTTCATTTGTATCACATACACACTCTCAAACATACCAGAAGGGTAGAGGGAAATATTGGAGTATTTCACATTGTAAAAGAAAGACATAAAACAAGCACCCTGTCACATCAATATATATTAATTTTATAATGCCACAAACATAAGTAAGAAAGTACAGACCTAAATGATAACATACTGTATATATGGGGCCTTAACTATGTTGTGTTTATGCCCATAAAGTACATGTAGCCATCGATTGCAAAAAGATTAATAAGATGAGTCTGCAAAAATTAATTTCACTACTACCATATTTTACTGCATGTAACTGTACTCAATGTTTTGCAATAGACTTTACTGTAACATTTAATTAGCAGGGATTTCATTGGTTTTAAATTAGTATCTTCATGTGTAAGTTTTTATTTGGCAGACACTGGGTTTATCTTAAAATTCAGCCTTCAGATACAGATCTTTGTTTATGCAGTCCCTATTGCCTTAGCAATTTTTCATTTCCCAGAGTGCATGTTCTGAATAATTTATAAATATCTGAATCAACATCCAACTTTATTTTGTTTAGAGGAAGGCTAACAGACATCACTTTAGGCTAGGACAGCAGTGAAAACTGTCATTTCCCCCCAAAAAGTATATAGATCAAAACCACAGCAGAAAATGCAAAACAGTGCGTACAAGTGACAGGAGAAGAAGTCAAAAGAAGAAATGGAAGCCTCAGAATAACACTCAAATTTTAATTAACTGTAAGACTTTTGACTTCACAAATTTGCTTTGTTAAAAATCTGCCTAATGATAGTGGTAAACCATGTTGTGAAAACTTTATGTCAAATATATTCATGACAGAAGAGAGTCTTAAAAGTTGAAAATGTTATTCTTCTCGGATGAACTTCACCCTGAAGCGGCTTATATATTCTGATGCACCCCATAGCTAAGCAGTCTGAGTCCTTGTGCACTTGTTAAGGTCTCCTTTGTTACAATGGTTATAGCTAAAGTTCAAGATGAAAAGACCTGCCCAAGATCTGCGTGGTGGCTGCTAAAAAGAACAAGAGGACCTCATCTGCATCAGGTATATCACCACCCACCCCTGGGACCTGTAATGTGCTGTACAGATGTTTTTTTGTCCTGGTGGAAAAGCAGGCCACTTTGATAAGACTTTGGATCTCATGATGGAATACATAAGACTGTCTGCACTTATGTACCTAGCTGCTGTTAAGAATAGTTAGCCTTATCAGAGACAGTGGATTCAGTGCTCGATAGGGCCCACAACCAACTTCTAATGGGTAACTTTAACATTCACACAGAGAACAATGGAGATACACAGAAGAGGGTGACCTCCAGAGGTCAACCTGAGAGGTAAGTTAGTGTATTTCTGTACTAGTCATGGACTGCCCTAACAAACTCTGTTCAAATCCATGGTTACTCATACTGTACACGTACGATGGCACCTTGGGATGAAGGTGAACTTTGACTTTACAGTCATATCATTTACAGTACATCTCTATGTTCTGGGTACTCATTCATGAGTGAGGTGAGAGGAAACTAAGTACTATCAGGTGTAAAGCTGGACCCATTTAACTAGATGAATAGATAACATGCAAACAATTAGTCCAGGTAGCCTGGGAATACCAGGTGGATGAGACCATGCAGAAAGATTTCAATTCCCATCTCACAACAAAAAATATTTCTATCCCAGATGAGGTCTTGGACATTGAGTTTGACTCAAATATTGTCATGACTTGAAAAAGAGGAAGTGTGTGTCTGTCATAACTGCTGTAAGACCCACTGCGGTTCACCAATGGTGAGAGTTGCTAAAAAGGTGAAGAAAGAGACCTTACAAGCAATGTTCATGAACTGGTCTGATTAAGCAGAGATTTATCAGATGGCCTAAGATCTGCAGCTCTGGTTGTTACTGAAGCAAAAGCCCAGGCATATCAGGAATTTGCATTTGACATAGACAGACTATCATATGGCCATAAAAAGTTCTACAAAATTCTTTGATGCCTTATTAGGTGTTGACAGAATGTCATTCAGAAGGAACAATGCAGACTTTTGTTCTCTCATAGATACAAAGGGTTGAGGGCGTTTGACATACCAGTTAACACTGACTGACTTTGAGAAGGCACAGGGTTGTGTTTCACAAGATACTGTATCACGTGGGAAGTCTGAAGAAAGCATGGTGCATCTTTAAGGAATCCAGTCCTGTATTAATGGACTGGAAGCTGGGTCTGTATTCATGGTATTAAGTTGTGTTAATTCATGACTAACACCGACCACACCTTCATCAAGATGCAGCTGAGGTGTAAAGAATGTAAGGTTTGCTTGGAGTTGACATCCCTGAGGGAGATGTTCTCCGATTGTGATCTCTTGTCGTGGACTCAAATATTTTGCAGCCACCTGTGAAGAGCCTGGGATGTTATGTCTCATTTTCAGCTAAACCTTACAAACTCCATGATTAATCTGACACATAGAATCTGTAATAATTCTGAAGCACTTTAATGAGAAAATACTGAGAAAATGTATTAATTTACATAAAATCTTAGTGAGTTTAAGTCAAGCTGTCTTAGGGATAGCATATTTTCTAAATTGAAGATCATTCTATGGGGTTAAATGGTTTATAACATTTAAAAGATATGCTTATATAATTAGATGTAACAATTCAAAATAAAGGGCTTGTACATACTGTAACTTAATACTATTTATTTATTTCATGAGGAAAAGACCCTCCTGCTTCTCGCCAAAACACAGGATGAGTTTTAGCCTTAAATGAAGAGCATAGACATTCACATTCCTCCTTTTTATTGACTGGCTTTGAGATCCATGAATGCGAATGATGGATACCATCATCATGGACAAAGAATTACAGCTCCAGGATTCTGACATTAGATTTAGTTTTTAACAAATACAGAAAACTGTATGCTCTAAATATTTTAAAGAATATATGTTCTAAGAAATTACCAAACAATATAGGCTTGCATGTTGCCATGTAAACAGAACAAGACAACAAAATACAAAACAAATCTCAAACAGTGCTTCCTCATGCTTTTGTCCTAAATAATGCCTTCAGGAAAAACTATTGGGACTGATATCTCTAATCTACATAAGTGACTTGGATGATAATACAGAGTCAACAGAATGAGCCTAGTTTAACTTTAGTAGCTGTGAAAGAAAGACTTAAAGGCAGTTTTAACAGTGTGGCTTAGAACTGAAACAGGGACAAAATCACACTAATTTCACAGGTCAAAACAAGGATCTAAAATGAAGGGATCTGGAAATACTGTGAGTTTAGGAACTGTTAACCATATTAAGATGAAGGAGACTCCTGAATGCTTAAAAAGGAGCTCTGGCTTAAGACCTTCTGATATTGGGGTAAGGCATGTAACTAGCTTTCCCAGAGGAAGGGTGAACTGCCAAGCCTTGGATTTTGAACTGTATGTGTTCCCTTATAATCTGTTGGTATTTTTTCTTTTCTTTAATGCTTACGGCTTCAGCTCCAAACAACTCAAACAATCACACGCTTTTCACACTGTCTTCTTTTTACTAACTTTATATACATTCATATTAATGTATGGACTATGTACGGTGTAAAAAGCATTCAGACCCTTTTAAGGTTTTCAAATGTTGCCGATTACAAATTATACTAACACATGCTTTTTCCATTAGTAAATTTATTGCAAACTCATATAGTCAAATGGAAAATGTTAGAAAAAAATAGCTATTTTTTAGCTAATAACTTTTGAAGAAATTAAAAAACTGAAACAGGCTGCTTGTATAAGTATTCAGACCCCACACATTAGTATTTAGCTGGGACATCTTTTGATGCAATAACAACTTTAAGTCTTTCGGTATAGGTGTCCACCTGGTCTGCACACTGGTTTGGAGTGATGTTTGCCCATTCCTCTTGGCAGATTTGCTCCAGCTCATTCAAGTTTCTTGGACAGTAATCGTGGACCTCAATTTTTAAATCTTGCTACAGATTCTCAATGGGGTTGAGGTCAGGACTTTGAGTGGGCCACTCAAGGACATTCACTTTTATTCTTGGCCTAACTCCAATATTGCTTTGATCCTGAGTTTGGGATCAACATCCCGCTGAAAGGTAAATATTTGCCCAAGCTTCAGGTTTTTAGCAGACTGAAACATGCTCCCAGTTCACAGTATTTCCCTGTACATTTCTCCATTAATTTTCCTTCAACTCTAATAAGATCCCTTGTTCTTGCTGATGAGAAGCATCCTCATAGCATGATGCTACTGCCATCATACATCAGTGTAGGGATAGTATTTACTGGGACAAGAGCAGTGTTAGGTTTGTGCCACAAATAGTGCTTTGAATTCTGGCCAAAAAACTCTATATTGGTCTCATCTGACCACAAAATCATCTCCTAGAATTTAGCAGGATTGTGCTGTCTGGTAAACTCCAGATGGGCTTTGAGGTGTATTTTTTTAGCAAAAGCTTCTTTCTTGTAACTTTCCATACAGGCCAGTGTAATGCAGAGCTCTTGATATACTGTAGTACACCTTTTCTCCTGCTCCACTCTCAGCATCTGAACAAGAAGGAGACTTGTGAGGAAAGCCACTGAGAGCGTTCTGTGGCTTTCCTCACAAGTCTCCTTCTTGTTCAGATGCTGAGTTTTGAGTAACAGCTATTTCGAGGCAGTTTCTCTGTGGTGTAAGGCAGCTTCCACTTGATTAATAAGCCAACAGTGGGATTGCCAAACACTTTGAAATTTTTTGCATCCTTTTTCCTTATCTATGCATTTTTATCACTTCATCTCTAACTTTTTAATTCTTCATTTTCATACCTTTCATTCAGATTCACTGGCTGACCAATAATCTCTAAACATACTGGAGTGTTTCTATACTAAACATAACAGTTACTTCAATGGTGGACAGGCAGAAGCCAATGGAAAAGAAATCCCCTTCTTAGAACAATTTCTTTCATCTTTGCGGACTTAAAGCTACCAGAGCACAGGCGCCTGAGTACTTAAGCAAGTAACAAATTTCAGTTTTTGATTTTCTTTAATATATCTGCTGAAAAATGTTTTGTTTTAGCACGTGAGTTTGCAATAAAAATAAAAACAAAAACATCTACGTATCATCTGTAATCCAGCAACAAATCCTTTTAAAGGGTCTGAACACTTTTGCATGGCACTATATGTATTTACACAGTCATATGAACTCTTTTTAGTTATTCTAGTTATTTGTACTTACCTTCATGGGTGGATATTTGTGGTAAGGAGCTGCTCCTGTTGCCAATTCGATAGCCGTGATCCCAAAACTCCAGATATCAGCTTTGAAATCATAACCTCTGACCTACAGTTAAAAACACATTTAAGACCATTAACATTTCAGGCTTCCATACTCAAAAAGCAAAGGATAGTAGCAAGATTAAAGAAGATACCCAAGCAGAAAGTTAACATTTTATAAAAACCTCTCCATATCACTTACTTCATGGCAGTTCTTCTGACATCATATTCAAAGAAAAATCAAAAGTTCAAAGCTTACTTAGCAATATTATTAGAAAATTACTGAATGAACACAAGTGAACATCAGAAATGGAGGATTTACTTATGAAGTATATTGCACACATTACACCTTGAAATGAAATGCTTACTGGCACAGCTTCTCAGTCTATTTTGAATTAGGAAATACCTATAGTCTATCAAGTCCCCTCAGTATGGAGAAAGTATTATAATATTTTTTTTCAATTGTATTGGCACTAAGTGTAGTGCTAATAGTTATAGAGCAAGGAGGCTGAAAGCCTCTTATACCTACTGTGTAAGAAGGTTCTACTAAAAGGTGTGGCTCACTTAGAGCATAAAACCCCGTTTTATACATAGAGCAATGAGAGATATTAATATTGCGAGAATATGGCGCGTGGAGCTTAAAGAGTAAAATCTTAAACTAAATGCACTGGTTAATGGAAGCCAGTGAACACATGTCAGAACTGGATTATGCGGTCAAGGAGCCTTAAAGGTGTTAGAGGTTGAGCAGTTACAGTAGGTTTAGAACCATTTGCACTTTAAGGGAGGGGGCAGGGAGTCCACTATATAGGCTACAGTAATCCAGCCAACATTAAATGAAGCAATGAATCAGGGCTTCTGCAGCACTGTCATCAAGAACATTTGCTGTTGTGTGGGCAAATCATTCAAAAGCCTCACTTGTTTTTCATGGTACAATAGATCATGCAAAAAAGGTTCAATAAATAGCTGCACACTGTTGTAACATATCCCTTATAGAAACAATAAGGCAATGAGTCATGCTGCTGGGTCAGGACACTGCCTGGGTGACGGGACTTGAAAATACTCACCTGTTCCATAACCTCTGGAGCCATCCAGCATGGCGTTCCAACAAAGGTTTTTCTAACTTTATTCCTGGTAATGTCGCCACCTGTTGCTAGGAAGGCACTAACACCAAAATCTACCAAAAAAAATGGATAAAAGAAAAATTTCATGTTTACACATGTTCAAAGTCTTCCTAGAAATCTTGATGATTCAACTGTTTAGTTAAACTACGGTCGATGCAACTGTCCAGAGCTTAAGACTAGTCTTGATATTCCACAGGACAAATGCTATGCACTTCAATGCTTTCTGTAAAGAATTCACAGACTCCATAAAGAATCAGTTTCACAAGATTCACTTGTTCAACCTTAGCTGTTTAATAAGCAGGTCACAACGTATCACTGTGTATGAGCACTGCAATATACACAGCTCAAATAGTTTAACATAGTTAATACAAAGATGAGATGACCAACTATCTAAACTACCTCAAAGATTTACAAAAACAAAGGGAAGCATTTTAGTCACATGACAAAACTAGTTCTATTACAGTTCCTATTACAGCAAATGTCTATGAAGGAAGAAAAGATAAATAAATTGTATACCAAAAGGCGGTAGCCCAAGCTTTTAATACTTAAAATGGTTATCATACTATCTCAATGTTTAATTGCTTATAATTTAAAAATTTTCATCAACAGTTTTGGACAACTAAAACAACTGACTATGTGGCGATAAAGAGGAAAAATTCTACTGAACTATTATTATGTTTATACAAATGTTCTACTTTTCATCATTTTAATTAAATGAAAGGTTCCTATTTACCTGAAACAATTAGTCTGTATAGTCTCTGTAAATACAAAAGGCCAAATCCAGAGGAAAAGCCTTAAAAGGATTTCTGCTTAACAGACATCAAGGGTGTCCACTGAAATGAAGTATACAACTACAATCATTATCAAACATCTTGAAAGCACATGCTCGCGGTGGAGTCCCGCTTTTATTCCTTGAGAATCACTTATCCATAAAACTAAAAATGAACATGGAGAATACCTTCTTAACATGTGTTAATATGTTAAGAAGACATTAGGTTTCAGGAACTTACTAACAGAGTCCAAAAACTACAAACTCAAGGGAAGTTAACACAGGCTTCAAAACACCTGCCTGGCTAGGCGAGATGCAACTGTGTTTTTTACTGTCTTTATTGAATGCCCTGAAATGAGACAAACTCTCTCATTGTTTTTAAATGTTATATTCTACAGATTAAGCCTGAAGCATCTTTCACATTCTATAGAACTGAATGTCTCGAGCGACAGCCATGACATTCCAGTCTCACTGCTCCAAATTTCACACTGCGTGAGCCTATTTACATGTGCCTACTAAAATGCATACTATTTCTTTGCCTGACACTTACTTCACACTCTCATGTGTACCGCATAAAAGTTCAACCAATGACCCTTGCAATGAACCAGAATCGATGCATTACACAGCAGTGACTCTCCACATCAAGACAATATACAGTACAGTACTTCATACATTTGCCTGGACAACAAGCCTCCATAGAAGGAAACACACCCAGGTTAAAAAAAAAGCTTTCATACTGTTCTGTAATTTAAGACTTTTGTTATGCTTGAATGCAGGTCAACCTAATAGTAAAGTATATAGTTCCGGTGGGTAGCTGCATCAGCATGCGTAGGTTGCAAAGGAACAAGTAATAGGTTTATTCTATGCTGAAAAAAAGAAGAAAGAACACAACGTTTCGGCCGTGGGGCCTTCTTCAGGCCTTCCTCACACCTGAAGAAGGCTCCACGGCCGAAACGTTGTGTTTTCTTTCCTCTTTTTTTTTGAGCATGGAATAAACCTATTACTTGTTCCTTTGCAGTAAAATACAGTATATAGCCTACAGAGTATAAATAAAACAAATGAATATTTCAAAACTTCCAGTCTATTTAAGAGAGAGACTTTAAGAATCATTATTTCCAGTAACCCCACAAAGTATCAACAGACATTTTCATGAAAGCTGAACAGGATATGAAGACTTCGCTATAATCTTAACAAAACAAGCAGGATTGCCTCTTGAATTATCCTTCTATCCTATAAAACCAAGTCAAACTTTTCTTACATCAAACATTTCAAACTGAATATACCAAATAATACAATTTTTGTATATTCACTGGGTTTTGAGCTTGGACTTTCATGACGATTAGAAATTGCAGCAAGCCACAAAAACTTCAATTGTTTTATTTTGCTTTACATTGGATTTACCAAGTCATGAAATAAACAAAAATGTCTAAAAACTGTTCACAAAACCTCTGCAAAAAAAAAACGATACTGTTTCCTTGCCCAGGTTTCATTATGGAATTAGTTTATGGTTGCATAAAATACAGTAGGACAATTACTTACAAATCAACCTCAATGTGTTCTTACCACATTATGAAAAATAAGCTTTTAACTGTGAAATGTCTTCACTGATCAAACTTTTGACCAGTTTTAACCTACAATTAATTTTAAAATTCATATTAGAAATATACAGAATTACCAAAATATCTAATCTTCATTACAGGGAACCACGTTATCACCAAAGTCAACATTAAACAGCAGTCAAGGGCATCTACAGCTGCCTCACCAGGTGCAGAGACACTCCCTGAGAAGCTGAAGATGACATACAGCATGTGGTATCTACAGAAATATATTCATTACATAGCTACTTATCTTACTATCCAAGCACAAGAGATGCCCAACATATCTATCCGCATGTGTAGACCGAAAATGGGACACTCAGTAGTTTTAAGAAGCTAAGTATGAAATAGACTTTGTGTTTACATCGACAGTTCATCTGCATCTTCTAGACAATGTGTAGAAGCGATAATAAAAATAAAAAGCACATAAGGACAAAGTTTAAAAGTGTGGACATTCAAATAAGGGTATTTTATATTAAAGTTGTAAAATGTACCAATAAGAACTGATTTTAAAAAATTCTGCCCAATTTTGTCCGACACATATATAGTTATTACAAAATAAGATACTATTTATTTGGAATCCACCTGGAGAAGAACAACCAGATACTTTTGTGGACTCAAAAGAATGTCAAACTGTGAAAAGCTGATGGAACTGAACCTGTTTGGTCTTAAAAGAGGAGACTATGGGGGGGAACCGATTCAAATAAACAAACCTAAATACTCATTTTGAACCATCCACATCCACAACTCTAGACAAAACATTGGTGTCTGAGGAATGTGAGATGCCATCTTTCCTAGTAAACAGTCAATATGCGATTAGCATCTGTTCAGTAGATATCCTCTGAAAGTGCAGGAATTGAATGCAGACCAGAATTAAGAGATACATAAAAATGGCATGTTTTAATACAAAGGTGGCTGTGGGAGAGATGGAGGAAACAACAAAACGAGGAGGCAAACATAATAAGCTCCAATACTAATAATGTCTTAACCAGCAAACCTATTACTGTCATTACATATTATCAAACATTCATATAAAGAGGACGGTCAAAAATACACAAAATAGGAATTAAATGTCAAAGACAGACCAAAACGGTGCTGCATTAAAAGCAGCTGAAAATATCAGATTTTTTTTGCTTCAAGAAGAATTAGGTTGTGAGAAAAACAATTAAAATAAGTGAAACCTGATGCTAATTACTCTTAACTACAGTACATGCCAATTTATTTTAAAATTCCAATTAAAGTTTTTTTTTAATTTACTTCCACCTCTAGCCTTATTCAGGTGTGCTCATTGAAATATAACCAATTTGACCAAAGGAATAGGAAAAACACTGAGTCTCTGTCGGAGTTACAGTACAGTATGTACAATGTTAACACTATTGAGGAGAGACTACATAAAGTTATATAGGTTTTAGTTGCTTGAGACAATGATCTTTAACAAGATTACTTTAAAACAAAGACTGAGTGCACAAAAAAGTGATCAAAGGTCCATTTATAACATAAATGCCGACACACAACTGGGTACTGAGAACCACTGGTATAAATAATACTTCTAAAGATTATTATGCACATTGTTTTCTGAGCAACTACTGTATGTATGCCATAAAAAAATACATAATTTATTTTTCCAAATCAAGAAAAAAATCCTTTGTAATTTCCTCTGCTGAGAGGTTTTATCTTGTTTTAAAATAATCTGTGAATATTTTGTCTGAATTTCTGCCAGTGGAACGAAATAAAACAGTGGCCCAAAATTCCTGAAACTACTGTAGCAAAATGACAATCAAATGCAATTTGGAATTACCTGCAATTTGTACTGAGCCATCTTCTCCCAGCAGAATATTGCCTGCCTTCACATCCCTGCATGGCAAAGAAAACACATACATGAGTCACACGTGAGTAGCATTTCTAGCATTTAAAACAGAAAGGTTATAGACTACAATCAACATTTAAACACCCTGGTATCACGTGGGGTCTTTTGTTTTCTTCTAGTATCACACCTGTTTTCTTCAGTACCCTTTTTGGGATTATTCACCCAAGAATACGGTAATTCACAGAGTACATCATAAATTAAGGAGTTCATCTAGAACATAGTTGAGAATAATTGAAGTATAAAGTATTTTAGTTGTGAAACATTATACTGTATGTTTCTTATCTAATGTTGTTATTTATAGATAAATTGGATGGTCATACAGTATTAAACTACTGGGTACAAAATCTGCATGATTCCTTATGTATTTTTTGTTTGCTGAAACATAATTACACCTGAATGTAGGAGTTCGCTTGGATAAAACAGAAAAATATAAAACCTAGAGAACTGCACAAGCCTCGATTACCTGTTGACAGGGGTGAAATAAATCTTTGACTAGTTAGCTTTTATTTTGGATTAGTGAAGAAAAGCCGATAGACCAATTCAGTTCCTGCACATATTTAACTTGTCATTCGGGAGGTGCTTCCTTAATGTCGTTTGACCCTGAAGATCATTGCTTCAAAGCATAATGCTATCCACTCCTATTAGTGGAATCCAAATTCACTGGGAATGTCAGCCACTTCATCGTTTTATCAGCTTCTCTTTGCTTTTCATATTAATAGCTTGAGTAAAACAGTGCAGTGCCAATGAGAAAATGTGACTGCATGTAGAGTTACAACAACCAATCTCTTCCTATACCTATAAGGGTTACATTATAAAGATCTCTTTACAAAGCTTAACTATTATATTTGTCACAGCTATTCTGATGTCTGGATAGCGGTTCCCATACCTACATTCAAATTTAATGGTTTTTCACCTCGTTTTTTTTCCCCCCAACTGTGCTTCTCTCTGATCAAACAAATGGTAAAAAAGTAGAGACTTGGGCTGCACCTTTTTGTGACAATAAACTGAATTTAAAAAAAAACCTGATAAATGCTCTGGCTGCAAACTGCCACGAGAATCCTAAATCTATAAAGATCTTCATTTCTTTTACAGTGAGGAAGACAGTTGGTTAAGTAGGGTCCCAGTGCTTATTAAATCATAAATCATTCAATCATCAATACTCAGGCACAGCATGAAAGGCCCTGCTGATCACTGGTACAATGCTTAGCAAGCTTGAACACTGTTCTCTGGCAGGCATATGGTAGTGGATAATAATCAAATCATTTTCAGAATTGTCTCCGGCTTTTGTCTTTTGAATAAAAGAATGGCTATTCTCGTATTGTGCACATTTTCTGCAAGCACCCACAGTGACATTTCTCTGCTGATATCACCTTATAATTACATCGCTAGAGGTGTCATTTGGAGCACAGGTATGACATTTATGAACAATGCTTTCCTGCATACTTTGCAGTGGTAGTTAAATGGAGCTGAACTTTTTCCCCACTAAATCCCAGAAAAGAACAATCAAGCTACACTCCCACAAACAATTTGATCAAAGCCAGACTAAATTAAAATTAAACTAAATTAAAAATATACACAAAATATTACTTACTAAGATAATAAAGTGGTACTGTCTACATCATTCATTTTTTGTCATTTTACTGCAGAGAACATATTGTCCCAAGGGCATTAGTGCACACAATCTACAGACCTAGATCTACAATTTGTTGAGATACAGCAAAATCTTCAATTCATTTTAACACATGCATTTTATAAACCATCATTCACAAACACAATCTATACATATTTCTATATTTGTAACAGCTAAGATGATATAATCATTAAACACTAAACATACTGTAACTTTCTCTTCACTGCATTCTGGAATAAAACATTAGGTGCTATTTTGTAAAGTGATGAGATTGAGTGGCGGGACAAGGTAATAGACAGCAATGTGCTTTTAATGAAATCAACACTAATTCTACGAAGGAATTTCTAAGCCGGTTCCTTTAAAGAATCAGACCACAAATGCCACAAAACATGTCTGAGATAATGTTAAGACCATTTACAGTATACTGGAGAAATAAAACACCCAGATCTCAACTACAAACAAGCAATCTTTTTTAAAAGTTCAGGTGGGTAGCTGCGTCGGCATGCGTAGGCTGCAAAGGAACGGGTAATTGGTTTATTCCATGCTGAAAAGAGAAGAAAGAAAACGTTTCGGCAGTGGAGCCGTGGAGACACACCCAAAGAAGGCTCCACGGCCGAAACATTGTTTTCTTTTAACTTTTTTAAAATACCTGAAACTTATTTTTTCCCCACAAATGAGATGTGTTTTAAAAAAATATTTTTATTTTTTTTGAATATTCTACCAGATATACATATAAAAGTAATTTCCAGTTTGGTGTTTGGAGATTGAGAACGTTGACTTGAACTCATGTTAGCATCAATGACTCATTTTTAATGGCCTAAAAAGCTTTATTTTAAGTCTATGATGTATCAAAAGTACCAATTAGACATTTCAATAAAGTTCACCTGGTTATCTCCATCACTTTTGTCCTAAATCTAAGTGCACAAGCACACTAAGTCAACATTTATGTCACTAAGGCATAATAAGCTGTGCAGATATGTCTGTGTCCCTCCCTCCAAACAATGTGAAGAGTTTTTTTCCCCCTATAAGCTTTTCAAGCTGATTTTTACCTCCATTTTTTTAAACTTAATTAGTTCTCTGATTGTAGTTGAAACTGTCCATACTCTACGTTTTCCAAGATAAAACATTTTTATATTGCTTGGGAAGCTAAATGTCTTTTGTCACTAGGCCCAAAATGGATAATTACTGTATAATGAATGAAAAAATATTCTAAACTCAGGGGCAATTATCATTTTAGAATTTCACTCTCTTTTTGATGGATACTGGGCTTAAGTTAATAACACCAGCTATGCTGGTTATTTTCTGCAGATAGTTCTATTAAAGAGATTGAAGAGTAATTGTGAAGTCCTTTTAAGTGACCCAGTTTTTGAAAACATGAAAGGTTCATTCAAGTTACCACAATTAAAAACCTCCTCAATAAGCTAAAATTTAGGACAAAGGTCAAAAGATTTCAGTCGAGTCTCAGTCTTCAAAGGCCACCCAGCTTTGCTTTGAGAAGCATATATAAATAGCATATGCGTCTGACAAGGAAGTAACATCTTGTCATACGCATATGCTACATCAGTTGTTCTTGCTGACTGTTTCTTCTGCCTTGGCCATCGACAGAATGCCAAAACCAAACCTACTGTACCACCAAAAGATCTCAAGCTGCTCAAGAAAGATCTTTCTTTCTACAAAAATACTATACCTAAAACCCAGCCTTAGATGTTTCTTAATGAACTTCAGAGATTTGTATTAAGAGGTCAGTGACACAGAAAGCAGGCTTGTGATACTGGAATTACATGATGGTTGTAGCTTCTTACTAGAAGCAAAAGGCACAAAAGTCATGTAAGAAACTGCAGATACCAAATACAATGAATATTTACTATGTGCAGTCCAATAAATTAAACTCAAATGGAAATGAGGTAGCCCAATGAAAGGTAAAAGTTAATAACCTCCTCAATTTGAATTCCAACTTGTGTAATCATTATTTTTAAAAAGAGTATAGTATTAGTATTTGCAATTTTACCCCCTCTGAGCAACACCCCACTTCATGCTACCTTTTTGTACCCTGGGAATTGATCCAGCAGGCTTAAGAGAATGTTAACAACATTAGATGTTTAAATTCTGCTCTTAAATAAAACCATTTCTCGAGCCAGTGCTTAAACATTTGTGAAAATGTCACTGGGTTTGGATACAGCTATAAAAGGATTTAAAAGCATAGATAAAACATACTGGTGAAAGAAATGTAAATACATCTGTGAACACTGCTGAAAAGTTAAACTATTTTGAAAACTCACATCATGGCACTGAATTCTTATCAGATGACATCACTGCATTGTTTCCAGACTGCCTCTCCCTGGATTCCTGAGCTATGAGATTCGATGTGGTATGATCAGACCAAAACAATGACAACCTGACCTCTTCAGTTTCACTTCCTATGTGGATTGCAATGCTGGCACCACTTTCATCAGAATTCATTAACTGCTCCTAACATTTCCCTGACACAAGCTTGAAATGTTGGCAAGCTTACACAAACTGCATACTTTTTTATGTATCCTAAAAAGCTTAAAGTGCATTAAACTTGTGGCAGAGCTTTTTGTATTTTGTATGGATTTTGCAAAACCTCACATGGCCAAAAATTTATAAAGAACTTCCAAACCGTTTGACTTTCTTGATTTGAAGTGCAGCTCCACAGCTTTATGACTATACAGTCTGGCTTCACGAAACATGACTAAAAACAAAGGGATACACTTGGCTGCTTCTTAACAGTAAACGTTTTTTTCACAGTTTGATGGAAATCTTACTTTCCCAGAGTCATGGAAGTGTATAACCAAATGAGCAAGATGGGCTTAATAGCCTCCTCTCATTTTGTAACCTTTTCAAATCTTTACATTCTTACGAGAGTCTAAAAAAATGAGCCATTTGTATATTAACAAAAGAAAGCAGTAGTGAAATGTAGGTACATCAGGTTCTTATGGTCTTATCCACTTCCGACCTTTTTAACTCCAGTTGCCAGTACACACAATTATCTCTTATTACCCATCTTATATGAAACTTGATTAAAAAAATAGATTAGTTTGCAATTAACAAATAGGGATTTTAGTTCCCAAGGTCAGTCACATTAGCTTCTGGCACACTGCTTCCCAGCAAGATTTTTATGATAACACATTGAGACACTGTGCATTTAGTATTTGTTGGAGTGCAGCAATAATGTTAATGAGATGTATATCTAATGTAACGACCTGAATCTTTTCATGTTCCTCCAGTTTAGTCAACTTTGCACCTTCCTCACACTTGGAGATGAGTACTGCATGTCAAGTCAGGCACTAGCCCACAATAACGGCAGTCCCGTCTTTTCTGTTTTAAAGCAAAGAC